ACGTGGGATTAGCTGATTAAGCCAAATGAAGTTCTTGTTTGAGTGCTACCACAGAGCTTGTCTCACAGGAGTTGGCTAGCAGCTGGAAACCCACCGCCTGTTTGGCGCTACACTTGCTGCTCTTGCATTTACTCTAAGAGCAGATTAAAGCGCAGTCTTATTTTCATCTGCTAAAATAATTACAACTCTTTATTTACACTGAATATTCTTTATCTTTTCTACCGAATCACTTCACATTGATATATGCATATTCAGTGGCTACCTCTTAGACGCCAAGACTGGGGTCTGTGTCTGCTCAGTGGTACATGAACATAATAGATAGATAGATAGATAGATAGATAGAGAGAAAACAAGAAAGAAATCGGAAAAACAAATAGGTAGATAGAAGATAACTATGACAGAGAAAGATGAGATAGATTAGCATGTCAGAGACTCTCTACATAACATATTACTCTTGTTAAGTGTGCAATAGCTCATCAATCAGGCTTATACCGCCTCCATCCAGGGCTCTTCCTTCTGCTTCCCTTCCTGTAATCCATAATATCATCTCAAGTCTGAACCACTTGGCATGCTGCAGGAGCAGTCTATGGGAAAGTCTGTCCAAGGGCTGATCAATAGCCAAAGAGGATGTGTGGCGGATGCAGGGTTAGAAGCAAGGCATTGTTGACATCCTTCTCCCTATACTCCTCTCGCTCACTCATCTGTACAGTATGGATCGAAAGAGGAAAAACTGTCACTTGTACCCTTAGTGAATTTCTCTCTCCCATGTCTCTTCCTGTCACTGTCGCTTGTCTCTCTGTGACACTGTATGTCTTTGCATCTTTCTTCGTATCCTCTTTGTCTCGCTGTTTGCTGTGCTCTCCTCTCAGCACACACTCCATTTATCAGGCCATGTCAGTGAGCCATGTGTGTCATCCATGTCAGCAAAACGGCTGGCAGACTTGTCTTCATGTCTATGCTGAAGGATGCTAGGCCAGCGTGGCAGTTGTGAGAGCTATCGACTGGGATCAGTCAAAGCCCTCCCCATAGGGAAGCTGCTGCTGCCTGCCTTCCTGGTTGGCGGCCATTCTGAGCTTGTTCGTTCAGCTCTGAAAATGGTGACATATATGCTACACAGCTGTAGTTTTGCTCCACATCTCTTTTGTCCTATCCACCTGTCACATGTTTTGTCTATCATAACTACTCCCTGTTTTTCTTTTTTTTTTCTAGAGCGCTGCCCCTTGTACTCCCTTTCCTGTATCCGTCTGTCTTTTCATGTCTCCCCCCAACGTCGTTTTTTTCTCTCTTTCCCATAAGACACAGCCTCCTCAGTGTGGGCAGACAGGGCAAGCTGACTGATGGGAATCAGACAGTTGTTGATCCAATTAGAGAGCCCCTCAAGCAGCACCAGAGTACAGCAGAATTCCATTAAAATACTGTGTTCTTTATTTTCTTCTTTTTACTTCCAAACATGTCCTTGCAGTAAAACACGGTGAGCCATCAAAATGAGTTGCTTAGCTCATTGACCTTCAAACCAAAGGAACCTTTAGCCAAAATTATCATTGAGAAGTGAAATGCTTCTTTTCACTGAAGCTTTTCAGAGTGACATAATTTGGTACAAGTGACTGAACGGGGTCCCTGTGTTCACCCTCTTTAGGGCTTTGCACACTCTTGGAGCATAGCAAGGCCAGCCCAGTTTGACTCGAAGCCCTTGAGAGAGGCCTCTTTTGTAACTGTCTTGCTGGTGAAAAGCTGTCTGTTTCACTGAGCAAAACCTTTTCCTTAGCCCTTCTATAGCTCGGGGGCCTTCCTGCATTGATTTCACCATTCAGGCCAAACAGATGTACAGCCCAATTCTGAGCAGCAGATGAATGTATGATATGCTGACATTGATGTATTATAATACATGTGCTGATTTGCATTCATAGATCAAGATGTTTTTCATCTGGCCTTGCCAGACCTTCCGAAGCACGAAAGCTCTCTTTGTCTACCCATATCAGAAAGAAAAACACTGGTGAGATCTGGTGTTCTCACTGTGCTGCCTATTGTTATGCAGACAAAGGACTGATTTCCCCCAGATGCCTGCCCATAGGAAACAACAGTAACAGCAATAATTACTTATGCACGCAGCGCCAATAAGTGAAACTTGCAGCAAGCTTCAATTTAAATGGCTATTGTAATTGCACAGTCTTGTACAGAAGTACATCTGCCTGTACTTATTGGTTCATTTTACCGGATGGTAATGTGTCTATTGGTGAGCAGAAAGCCATGACTATCTCTTCAGAGCCAAATGCACAGTGTGGAGTATGATGAGCTGAATCGAGGCTCAAATGAGTCTAGGAGCACAGACGTCTCACTCTCACTAAACTGTTTATTGTCTCATGCACTGCTCCTCTTTTGTTTATGTGGCTGGTCTTGGTGTGCACATTCCAAGGCACACACGCATGTGTATTAGTCTGTGGTTACCCCTCATTAACATGTTTACCAGTTCCTACAGCAACCCACATAAAAAACAATTAGGAGTTCCCATGGAGAACCCTATTATTGGCAGTTGTTGACCTCTGACCAAAAAACACTTGATGTGATTTTCCCATAATTTACTGTACAGATCATTTTATGGCATCAAATTGGTTCATAACTAAACTTTATTTTCATGCTGTCACTGTAATACATGCTCTGACTAGAATCGGTGTGAAATGTGTTGTCCTTGGAGCCTGGGACCTAATGACACAGCATCAACCAACTGGTGTGTGCAGCCAGTGGTCTAGATTATTCTGGGTTGTGCCAGTGATGACAGTGTATGGTGAGAGCTCTGAAAAGGATTTTTAGGCTGGCAGCAGTTTGTATTGTGGGTATTTCCGTGTGGTTTTAACAGTTATAGCACAGAGAATTTAAGGGCAGAAAAAATGGTGTTTGTGTGCATCAGGGCTACAGAGGGTTGAGTGTGTTCACAGGGTGGGTGGGGCGGTGTGAGGCTGTTGATCTTGGGCTGAAGTCTTAAACAAATTGGTTTGTTCGCTGTGGGAACTGGAGATGTAGTCACCGAGGGGAATGTCAGCGTGCTCTGTGTCAGATTCTCCAAATTTCTCCAATAGCTAATTATCTCCCAGAGTGCCAGAGGAGAGGTTTGGAAGTGCTTTTGTTGTTTTTCTTCTGCTACATCTCTCTCACTTTCCCTTCCCGGCTACGTTCTCCTGGGCTGACTCAGAAAAGTTTGGTCCCATAGTAGCCCCTGAAGCCACACCAACACACACACACAGTTTTTGAGAGAAGTTTGCACTTTAGTTGCATAAAAGAACACACAGCTGAGTTCTTATTCTTATCTCTGACACCCACTGTATGGGTAAAATGATTCTCTCCAGATGTGGCAGTTATTGACATGAATAAACAAATCATCATGTTGGCTCATTAATAGCCAAATCATTGTAATCATCTAGAAACCTCCCTTGTCTTACTTTATTTTAATACTGTCACAGCATTTCTTTTTCTCCTGTCTTGCGATGCTGCATCATTATGAATGCTCAAGCGACTAACATCTGGGAGTGGAGATTAAAGTATCAACAGTGCTCCTGGTAGGTGTAATCCTTGGAGTATCATGATGAAAGGTCCCATTGCTCACTTCCTGCAGACCCCACCCTCTATCGTTGGCCCGTGTCATCACAAAGCTGCTGTGTCATGAGCTGCCAGGCCTGTAATGTGAATTTGATGACAGGAGATCGGTCAGGTCCCTTCTAAGCCACCAGGTGCAGGGCAGAAGTGCTTCAGTGTTTGGACAAGCTCACTGGCTCAGTGTGTACTGCGTTGTTGCTGAACTGTTCAGCCCTGCCAGAGAACAAACATTTAATTCTGGTGTAGATTCTCACTCTGCCTCTGTTCTCCCCTTGCTTCTCTCTCAGCCATTTTTCTCTTATCTCTTTCACGCTCTTCTCCTTTTTTGTTTCTTTTTTAGCTGTACTCTTGTGTTCCTTGTAGTTTATCTAACTGTCTCCCTTCCCCCCTCTCATCTCCACAGTCTGCTTGCAAAGAGATTGTGATCTCGCTGAAGCAAACTGAAAACAGGAACGGACACCGTTAAGACCCCCAGATCCTCGTGTAAGAGGGTCGCCCATTTCTCATGAGTAAAGCTCACTAAGACCTTTTCTCCTTTCACTCTCTTCCTTCATCGCACCTGTCTTTCTTCAGATTTGTTCTGTCTTTCTACAGTATCTCATCAGGACAGTCCTCTACTTGTGTCCATTGTGTCTCCTTTGGTGCTCACCTGCAGCTCAAGTGTGGGAAAGTGCCCTTTGAGAGGTTATTTTTATAGCGACATAGGTCATTGCCCACTTTCATCAACCTTTTATTGGCAATTATGCATCCAAAAGGCTGTTGATAAGAAAGGGAGCTTCAATGAAGTCGTAGTACAGATGGCTTTTTTCTCTTTTTTATTTGGATTAATAGAAGGGATTTCAGCTCATATTTCCTGCTGGTTGATGGTAGACACTTGGCAGCGCTGAAATGAGAGAGCCTGTGTCAATCCTCTGCTACATTTCTTATCAAAAAGAGGTTAGACTGCCTCCAGTGTTCACTCAGAGAGCAGCAGAATTAAATCTTTGACAGTGTCTGCTCAAACAACACAGCCCAGACACTGGCACTGGTGGTTGCAGCGAGGAAAGAGGCATAAAATTTCAAAGAAAAGAGACGATGGCTGTTCAAGTAAAACACAGAGGGATTATGCGTCAAGGCCGACATTACCATCTCAGAGGTATTTACAAGAGCGATTACTGTGATTATTATTTCAACAATACCCTGCAATGCTCTTTCATGGGCTGCCAGCCTGGGTTGGGGTGGGGAGGACCTGCCAACATCATCGGTCTGGGAATTCTTCTAGGAGCACCATAAGAGGCTGAGTGGAGGGGGAGACTGAGATGAGATGATAGAAGATAAATGTGACACCGTTCAAAAAGGGCTTCTGTCCGTGCAAGGGGTCACAGGATTCAGTCCTCCTAACATGATTTTGTCTTCTCTCCCTCTCTCTGAAGCTCCCACAGAGCCATTGCTGTGCAAATTTGCAGACGGGGGCCAGAAGAAACGTCAGAGTCAGAGCAAGTACCCTCAGAATGGGAGGCCGTGGCACAGAGAAGGCGAGGTAAGATGTAGTCCGTGCCCCTTTTTCCTACTCACTGGATGGCTGCTGCTCATTTCTACTCCTGCACACCTGGATAATCCTCTCAGTGACTCTTCACACCAGCAGCACACCAATGAGCACACCACCAGTAGAGCTAGCCTGGACCTAGTTGCTGTTGTATATAAATAAAGCATACCACATATAAAGTAATAGAATCAAATGTTCAACAAAATCAGCAAAATTTACAAGAATACAAGTAAATTATCATCATGAACAAATCATAATACACACAAGTTTCAAAGTCAGCAATGGACCTTCAGGCTCAGTATTATAGTGTCATCATACAGAAAAATTAGAAATAGTAAATTGACTTTGCCCCTCATTTATGGGAAACAATAGGTTTAAAAATGACAAACTGACACATTTACATTTTGCCCTCTAATGAGCTGGACAAATTGTCACTGCAACACCACTTTTTTGATTATTTTATAATCCTGTTGTGCGCAAATTAATTAGGAGCAAGAGCAAAATTCAGATTAATATTATATATACAGATTCATATTTTTTACATAATTGCTAATAACAGAGCAAATATGCCATGCTTGAAGAATTTACAGATCTGATCAAAATATGTCATTTAGTGCAGTTAAACTCTTTCAATTCCAGCATGATGAAACTGTAAATAAGGCGTTTGCCTCTGAGGTAATGGTGTTTCTAAGAACAAGCACCACCCTGCTTACAAGGCCTCGAGAGAAGTTGGCTACAACATCTGGCTTTATGTAAACCATTACTGCCTGTTATTTGTACAGTATCTGCTTTAAGGTATGGAGCTGTTTACAAAAAAAAAGAAAGAAAGTGCCCCAGATATCGATCAAACTGCCCGTGGATGTATAGGCGCTGTCACATAAATTGCTTCTCAAGCTTGATGCCTCACTGAACACATATATTCCTGCCGTAGATCAAAATGCTTGGAAACCTGAAATTAGCTACAGTGTTATGGCAACATATTCATCAGCAACATGTGGAAACAAGGTTAAAGTCTCTTCATAGGCTGCCATGCTATACTGGGAAGGACATACAGAGGGGACGGGCAGAGGAGTGCCTCAGTCTGGACTATATGGATAAGAATAAATACACACACATGTGCACACGCATTCACTGATGCTGACAGTTGTGCTGAAACGGCAAGGTAGGTGAGACCAGGAGAGATGAAATGTTTGTCCTTCAGAATACACATACGCTCTGTGTGTCAGTGTGGTTGGTGGACGTGCTGTTGGTGGGTGTGTGTGTGTGTATTGAGAAGTGGTCGGTGGAGTACTACACTAGCTGTGTGCATGTGTGTCTGTCCATCACATGATCAGTGGCCATGGCACCTATAAGCCAGTGAAGCATGTTTAACCTAAATAAAATGCTGCCCCCTCTCCCAGACCCACTCACTGACGGGGTCAGTTCATTTTACTTGAGGTAAAGTAAGATGACCGTGCATGTGTGAATGTTCAAACATACATCATCAGGAAGGGTGTAATAAGGATAATATCCTACACTGGCAAAAATAAAGGAAACACTCTTTGTCCTTTTATTCCTCACCCTGCACATCACTGACGTTACACAAGTGTGAACAGTTTGCAGATGTGGTACGTTTAATATAAAAAATGTTTCTGTGGTTGTATCTTGTTCGTACTGTATCTAAACATTTTTTTGGACACGACGACAGTCTCACCCATAAGTACTGTATGCTGTGCCACGCCTGTGTATGTGCACGTGCAGCCTTGTGGTCATTGATCAGCTGTAAAGGCAGGGAGATGGGAGATAGGCATCACATGTTAGTCTGTTTATCAGAGCTGAGGCCATTCCTCTCCTCGCTCTCTGTGGCAGGCAGATGAAGAGGAGCAACAGTCCACACCATCCATTACTCTCTCTCTTTTCACTTCTCTAGTTTTCCTCTTTATCTCTCCAGTATATCTCTCTGTGCTTGTATTTCCTTCTCTCTCAACTTTCTCCTCTTTTTTCTGTCTTTAAATGCTCTCTCCTTTTTGCCATCTCTTTCTCTCGCAGTTTGTCTCTGTGTTTCTTCTTCCCTGTGTTTGAAGTCTTCCCAGATCCCACAGCAACATATGGAGAGAGAGAGCGAGTGAGTGACTCACCGAGACTAAGGGAAAGAAAGAGAGGGAACACACTGCATGATCAGTCAGGAGTTACAAGGGGTTGAGTGCTGCAGGGTGGCTGGTGGTGAGGATTGAGAAATATATAACAGATTTTCTTGTAAACTACCCAAAGTGGGAGTCTAGAAAGTGCTGTCTCTCGCTGTCTCATGCTGACAAACATATTAGTCACTGCATTTTTTTTTCCTGCCATACACACATACATACACTAATACTGACAACCAGACACAAGCGCCATGGGTGCTCATTCTTTTCTCTCTTTTCTTATTTCCCTCTCCTTTCACTTTCTCGCTCTCTTCCACCACACACACTCCTACACGCAGAAAACTTTCAAAGTCACACTTCTCAAGCACCTACTCTAGGGGAATGAGTGTAGATGAAAAAAACATCCGGTTTTCCACTCTGTGTGAAAGCCTGACAGATGTCCGTGTGTGTGTGTTTGTGTGTGTCCATGGGGCAAGAAATAGAAATAGAGAATCTGTATGGGAGGCATAAATACAAGGAGGGAGAGTCTGTGTGTGGTTGTGTGTGTTTGATGACATAGACACAATGGCTTGGCTTGGTTTTCTGGTATAAGAACAGGACAGCGCAGGTGTTATAGCTGCCTAATATTAGGTGTCCTCACCGACCTTTTCTAAAGTCTGTGTTTAACACGTATGCATACACACGCTACTACAGTTTCTTTGAAAAAGTTGCTTTATTGCTATGAATAAATACATTTACATTTGCACTGGGAATACATTAGTACATTTTGTACACCCAAGAGGCACAGATAAAAAAAAATATTAATGCAAAAATCATTCTTCACAACTTGCTAAACTTGAATTAACTACAAGAAGCGGCAACTGATTTCATATAAGTTTGGATCCAGTTTGGATCTTTGTTTTCTGTAAAATCACCATGTTTCCTGCAGAAGTGAAACTCTTTCAACCTAATTTAAGATACAAAATGAGCATACATACTGTAGCATCTCCTCCCTCGTTGAAAGCCAGGTCTGTTCGTGGCAGCTTTTCTCAGGGCCAGGCTTTGTTCACAGGTACCTGCACAGTGCATAGTCAAGGTATTTTCAGACTTGGATCAAGCTCAGACAAAAGCATACACAAACTGTCTCTGTCTTTTCCTTTTCGCTCGCTGCGGCAGAGCCAAAAGCTGAATGCATCAGTAATCAGTCATCAGTCATGCAGGCTCCACAGCCAGGAGCTTCTCTGCTGTGGAATTCATCAGCACATGGATCCAAGGGCAGCACTTAGGAGGAGTATCAGCCTCACCAGACAGCTGGTCATGCCTGCCACTGTTGTTAGTGCACATGTGAACATTCATGTGAGACTCTCTTGATCTAATGCTTAGTCTAAAGAGACTGTATAAATACATATGCAGAGATCTTTGTACATGTGGACTCACAGAAAGGGCCATATATCGACACATGGACTGATGCACATCCCCTTCATCCAGCTTTACATATAATATCTCTCAAAAGATTCTTTTTAACCAGGTGTATAAATGCGCTTCCACACAAATTTAATATGAAGATCTACTACCGTGCATGTACACATCAGGGCTTATTCATTTGGGGGAGATTCTGTTTTTTACTCACTCTCATGGGTTTGGTCTAGGCTTGCTGATCCCTCCTGCTCCTCAGAGACACTTCCCTTAAAAGTATGTCTCAGGGTTGGTAGCCCTCTGGAGGAGCAAGGGCAAAAGATTGGTAGAAAAGGAAGGGAGTGAGATAGATTAGGAGATGAGGAGAGTGAGGGATGATGGGAGAAAGGTAAGGAGAGAAAGGAAGAGAACACAAGCTGATGAGGAAAGAAAATGAGCAAGAGAGAGCAAAGTGAGAGGAAGGAAGGGCAAGAAAAGGGAGTGTGTGTGTGTGTGTGTGCGCGCGCGCGCGTGCATGCATGCATGCTGATGAAATCTGCCGTCCTCAGCAGCCTCCCGTTAAAAGAAATCGGATTAGCTCTCCTCCGGGAGAGAGCCTTCAGGAATGCAGATGATGGATTGCGGCACAGGTTTCTCTTCTGGACTCTTAAGACAGCTCACACACACACCTACACACATGCATACCATCACCAGACAAAGAACTCAGTTTTACGCTCACATTTCTTCATTTCCTCTCATTCATAAAAACATGATTGTACTATAGTATGTGGTTGAAATGGAAAAAGAGCCGTCCTCAATACAAATCAGTTTGTCTTATTGACTAAGCTTTCTCCCACATTGGCTTTGTCAGTTGTCAGTTTTTTCAGTGTGAAATGACTTGATTTTGATTTCATTTCATTTATTTTGAACAAAACGAACCAGGGTCTAAATCACATTATCCCCCATGTACAGTAAAGGTACAGCAAATTATCTTCATAACACTGGTGCAACACATATATCGACACATTTTCCAAAGACATACAGAACATAAACAGTAACAGATTGCAGTCCAGTGTACATGCAAATGTCCAGCATATATATATGCTGTACAGTTCAAAATGTATTAATCTAACAGGGGGTCAGGATTTCTGGTTCCTCCTCAGTTTTTACCCCCACTTGATTTAAGATTTAAATGAAAACAGTTTGGGAAATGCACTTATTTGCTTTCTTGCCAAAAGTGACAAGAGAAGTTTGATACCACTCTCGTGTCTCCCAGGCTGATAGCCTAGCTTAGCATAAAGTTTGAAAATGGGTGAAGCAGCTACGATATCTCTGTCTGTGCAAAAGTTAAAAAAATAAATGAATAAATTTGCCACCATCACCCATAAAGCGCACTGATTTTAATGTTATATCTTGTTTTATCTACACAACACTGAAATCTTCAATCGGTAAAAACATGCATTTCCCAAATTGTTGAACTGTTCCTTTAAAGATGTGCAAAAGGTTAGCTTTATCTGTAATGTCCTCTCCCATGTCACATTTTCATTTATAGCAGTTTAGTGTTATTTGATATTTCTTCTTATCCAGCTCTTTTAAATATTGATTAATCCTGCATGATTTTTTTTTCTCTTTCAGACTGGCATGGCGTTAACATATGATCCCACTGCAATGCAGAATGGGTAAGAGTATGATGGTCAGTCCATCCGTAGCGCCATCTAATACACTCACCTCTTGTCTCAGAACTGCAGGTCAATCTTACTGTCATACAGTGCATAAAAATTAGTGTAGTGCCTGCACTTTTTTTACTGTTTGATTAAAGGAAATCTATGTAGATCCCTAATATCAGTTTTCATTGGTGGGGTCAGGTGAGAAATGACAAAGGGCAGCTGAGTGAGCTTGTGTGTTTGGGTCTTTGTGTGTTTCTGCATCTTTAGAGTATGTCATGATTTAATGGTGCTGTGGAAATAAATGACCCAGCAACATGTTTTATTTTTCCCCCGCAGTACTGAGACAGGAAGGAGAGTGCTGAGGCTGTCTTCTGTCTCCCTCTGGCCTCAGTTGTTCACAGGAAGCTCCTCACTCCCTACTTCCTAAACCACTTATCCTCCAGTGACTCGGAGTCAATCTTAACCAAAAAACTGGATGAACAGCATCAGAGCCTGCCATCTAGAGCCCTGATTTGCTGCAAATCTGCCAAATTATAATAGTCTTTATTGTTACGAAACAGACCTGCTAGGAAAGGAGTGATTCACCCTTAATACCGTCCACCTGAAGTTTAGCCTAATGCTCATGTTCCAATAAAAGATCAACAGGGTGAATAATTGCATATAATCTTATTCAGTCTTAATTATGTAGAATATATTGATGTATTAAAGCTTTCCTTTGCCACAAACCGAGCACATACATTTGATGAATATAGCAAAATGTGGAAAAAGGAATTACACCACACAAGGAAATACACCATGTTAGATATTTATATGAGCTATGCATGAACAGACACATATTTTGTTTGTTTGCCAAAACGTCGTGTTATCTGGCACAGAGAAGTGTCTGCAAGATCTAAGTCTTATGAAGTCCTCTTATCAGCAAACTGTTGTGAAAGTCCAATAGCAGGAATTCAAATAGACCTTTTTGGGATTTGGGAGTTGTAGTACTATGTACTGTAAAAACAACTGTAAACAGCAGTCACAGATAGAGTGCAGATTGAAAATCCATTGTATTTAGCCATGTTTTACAGCAAACAGAAGAAATTGCATTTTGTGTCGCAGACTATGGAAACATGTCAAACAAAGCTTTCATAAAATTAGGATTATTTTGAGTTGGAGTCTCCAGGACAGTGATATGTTGATATGGTTAAAATATAATGTAGTATAAAACATGAAAAGCTGATGCTGGCCAGCCCACTGTATTGTGTCCTCAGCCAGTAATATCATCTTTGGCTGAGGTGACAGAGACTACTGGACATTCCACTTAGCCTCCCAGGGGACCTCAGAGACATTCGGTTGCTATAAACCTCCAGCAATGAGATAAAGTAGCCAACCACCTCACTTCTCCCAACCCTAGCTTCTTGAAATGCATTGACTTTTCTTCATACTGTGTGTACAAGCAGCCTACTTAATCCACCCAATCAGCACAGCAGAGTGTAGCTGCAGCACTAGAATCTATGTGTGGGTTGGGGGGGTGGGTGGGACAGACAACCTCTTACTTTATACAATGACAAAATGCAGTTTGATATGATAAAACCTGACTTTTCAATTGAGAACGCTATAACACACTTCATGAAACTTTTATGTGGTGCTCGAAATACAATATATGTCCAAGTATTTGCTCAGAACAAGCTACAGGATAAATCGAGTGTGTGTGTGTGTGTGTGTGTGTGTGTGTGTGTGTGTGTGTGCTTGTATGTGCTCTAGTTCTAGTCTGAAATGTAAAATGTGTTTTGCTTTATTATAAAGACAGAAAAACCTTTATGAACACAAAGATGTCAGTTAACAACCCATTATGTATTTGTACAATGTCAGATTTACATTATGTTTTAGAAACCTAACATGAATTATTCTGCTGTGTCCTTCCCTCTCTCTTTGCTCTTTACACCCTTGTGCTACCTCTTTTCTCCTCTCTTCTCCATCTTTATCCACTCTTTCTCTCCCTCCCTCTTTTCCTTCTCAGGTTCTATTCCTCGCCTTACAGCATTGCCACCAACCGCATGATCGCACAGACCTCCATCACGCCCTTCATCGCTGCTTCCCCCGTTTCCACATATCAGGTGGGCCATAATGCACAGCATTATGGGTAGATTGCTGTTTGTGTATATGTGTAATAGGAGGGTTTGCTTTGTGTAGAGGGATTGGAAGAGAGGGGGCGGGCTGCAAAGCAGCGTGAGGTTCTCTCTTTTTCTCTCGTTTCTTTGCCGTTCCAGCTGTGCTCGATGACATCTGTTTGTAGGCGGCAGACACAACAGGCATCAGAAAACAAGCAACAAGAAAGGGATTAAAAAAGGCTGACAGGGTAGGAAAAAAGAAAATCAGCCTTCAAGAAGGAAAGTGTTGAGGAAAAACAAACACTTTCCTCTCTCCCAGTTTCCTGACCCTTTTGTGCTCTTTAGAGCAACGAAGGTTTTTTCTGTATTTTATTTTTACTAACATCGATGCAATCGCCATGTCTTCCAAAGTGAATTTCCACATTCCTCACAGCTGTGATCTGTGGAGTAATGAAACAGAACAGAACAGGAACGTGAAAATTGGCTGTGTGAGATGTCAAGAGCGTTAACCGTTTTCCGTCACCGCACATTTCACGCGGCACCCTTTGCTGAATTTAAGCATCTGGAGGTGCTACCACTGTGCCCTTGTGCTCAGACACTATGCATGCATTTTCGGTATGCAGAGAAAGACAGACAAGGATAGCAAACAAGAGAAAGGAGATGAAGGGTAGATGAGAAAATAAAAGGGAGATGGAGACAAAGAACTAGAGAGAAAAGGAAGGATAGAACAGGCAGTGATGGCGGGGGGGTTGGGGGGTGCAGGATGTTGCTGAAGGTTGCTGTGCCCGTTTTTGAGGTGCACTTGATTAAAACTCTGGTCCAATACCTGTGGTGGAGGGGTAGGAGAAAGAGGAGGATGGTGAAAAGTGGGTCAGGGCGTGTCTCTAATCCGCTCTCGGAAGGCTTCCCAAATTGATTTATCAAAAACAATGGCCAGGCTTTTGAGGAATATTCATCCTCACAGTTTCAATATCAGGCAGCTCTGCCACTGCTTCCTGTAATATTGCCCTTCAGCCAGTCACGGCAGGAAGGTGAGTCCTTCATCTTCTGTTCAGGTAGAGACAGAGGGAAAAAGAAAAAGAAAAGACAAGCCAGACATACAAAAGAAAATCACTTTCTTTTATGATGGAAACTATTGCCTTTGTAATGAAAATCTCAAGGTGCATAGAAATGACGGTATATGTCATTCCTTCTTTTATGTTGATGTTGAGTGGATTTTTTTTTGAGCTGCTATTTTGGTGGAATTGATTTATCAAATCTGCAAATGACCCATACTGACTGGCAGTGTTCTGGTGTATTTTTAAGCCTGGCTCTGGTGTGCTTGAACGATGATTGGCCTTGTTTCCTGGAAAAACAGCTTTGATGATCCGCATGACAGGAGGCAGGCCAGGCCAGATCACTACCAAGATCTCAGCTAGTGCCGCCAGCCAGCCGTGGTCTGGTTTGCATCATGGGCTCTAGGCTGGCTCACTGGCTGGCTTACTACTGTAACTAGCTGACTATGGCTGGCTGTTTGGCTGTACGTGTGACTGATGGGGGCCAACTGGCTGACCGTGTGAATGAATGACTGGCTGGCTTTTTGGCTTATTCTCTGACAGGCTGTTTTAAATGGTAACACAGCCTGTGAAGTTCAGCCAGAGGTAGGCAGCTTCATAAGTCACAACATTATGACATTCACTGCTGTAGCTGTAGAGTATATGCTCCTTACAAACTGTTTTAATCGGTGTTGTAGTACTCAGGTCCAGATTTTCAGGACTCATGACTGGACTTAGACTTGACCACTAATGACTTGGGCTTGGACTTGGACTCAAGCATTGACTGCATTTGGACAATACTGGTCTGTCAGACCAGTTTTTAGCTCTTTTGGAGAAAAACCAAGTCATATCTTAGGTTCATCAAGAAAAGATCAGATTAAGTCTTCATAAGCAAAGTCTTTGAAAACCGAATACTGCATTTGAAAATGTTCTGCTCAAAGCTGTGTTAATATCAAGATCAAGATCATATTGTCAATTCACTATATGTGGAGGTAGTCTTTTTTATGTCCTGTGGTGGGGCATAGTCCAGGGGCAGGGGGCAAAGGGGGGGAGCTATTATATATAAATAAAAGTATAATGGCAACGGCGGTGCAAATGGGTGCAGCGGCTCGTCTCTCTCCCAGTTGTGTGCCTAAAAATGTGTGTTTGCGTTTATCGTGTTTATGTTCTTGAGCGCGTAGTTCACCGTCTACGTTGCGCTCAAGATACAGTTGCCACTGCCTTATAGATAGGGGGAATAAGTCAGAACATTTCAACTTGGACCAGGAAGTCACAGTGAAACTTCGAGGCCTGGGGCTTCTCTGCGGGATTCCTACCTCGCCGGACACACCGGCTACATCACCCCCTGAGAGGCACGCCGTCCCAGGCAGCTGCATGAGACAGTGCACATGGCACTGTTTTTCTCTCATGTTGTGCTTAAAGCATTTTTTATGCACACTGAGTTTTGTGTGAAAAATCACCTTTGGGGTTGTTTGCAAACAAAATTCTTTGTGATTATGTGTACAACTAAAAAAAAAGGTGTATTTACCTTTAAAAAAAACTTTGGCCATAGTGTTGCCACTTCTTTGCATTGATAAAAGTGGAGGATTTAAGAAAAATCACATGATGATCACGCAGTACCTTAGTTTAATAATTTTGAAGAGTGATTAAAGATAAGCTTTCTCCGTGTCTATCTCCTGTCCTGTTCAGCTGTTGAGAACAAATATTATCATGTATAAACAAACAGACTTGGCTTCATGTTATAGAATATCAAGCTTGTTTAGGTGTTGATCCAAATCACGCATTTGGGTTGGCTCAGAGGATTGATTGCTCTTATAGCAGATTATTCCATGTTTGTCTTTGTTTAATCTAATCATTTTACCAGGATCAGTGGCCAGCCTGTGTATTTGTCTGCTACAAGCTGTCTAATTCCTCTCTGCAGAACATCGGAAAGCTTTGTTTGTTCCTCCATTCCTCCAGTTGCTTGATCATTGTCTCTGAAACTGTTTCACCATGTCTTTAACTTTCTCATCCATGTTTATATTCCTGTGGTATTAGCTTGGCATATCTCTCAGTTATGGCCCATAAGAAATAAAAGCTCTGTCCATTGCTCTCAGATTACTTTTATTTTTAGATTTATATATATATATATATGTTGCTACTGGGTTTTCTGGGTCCTCTCTAACAGTCTGAAGATTTAAAACATTTCACCCCATCTTGCACCAGCACTGGGTTTGGCATTAATGTTATGATTATATTGGGGAAGGAACCTAATTCATACGCTCTGTGCACAAGTTATATCACGGGCAATAATGAGAAAGCAGGAGAGAGATTTGCTGCCTCCAGACTTTCGAACTCTTTTTGAGATTCTTTGGAACAAGTTCATCTGTGTAAGCCATTTTGATGCATTAAAACCTCCGTACTCAAGAGTATTTGAACATATTGTGAATATCTGAACAGCATTCATTACTTTATGTGGGATTGTGCTTGGATCTGACTGAAGGAATTTTATATTGTGACCGTCATTTCACATTTTATGTGTTTCTCCTCAGGTCCAGAGTACATCATGGATGCCTCATCAACAATATGTTATGCAACCTACAGTAAGTACTTCACCATTAACCTACAGTATGTGTCCCCATCATGGCTCATCATATATTGAAAATCTGTGGCTTGCATCCAAGTTTTTGAAAGGTTTCAGGAGGAACTCAGTAAGTTCATTTTATGCTAGAAAAGAATCAAAGACATGGAATATTTTTTATATTTAGAGCAATATGACTGCTCAGAAAAGTAGATCCTGTCTGGAAAATTGTTCAGGGCACATTGTTTCTCTATTGCCTGTCAAAAGTTAAACCAACATGCACATGGTGCACAGTAAATGATTGCAGCAGTTATTTACAGAGCTTTCTAAAAGGATATTGCACCATTCTGATAACAATTTTCCATCTTTCTTGAGTATACAAACATATATAGTTTTATTTTGTTGGTCAGAACTGTATGCTGTCAGTATAGGTTGTGCCAGGAAGCCATTCAGCTGATGACCGTTGCTCTGGGTTACCAGGCCAGACAGCAGACATAGAAAAATGTAATATTAATTAGATTTAGCTCAACAACAACATGATAATGCGGTAATAACTTATATCCAATAGTATTCAGTCATTGAGTTGAATAATAGCAAATATTAGTTTTCTGATAGACCAAAGTCATTTTCTAGGTCACAGAGTCTGCAGATGAGTAATTTATTATTTTAATTGCTGGCAAAACCATATTTTCCTTCAAATAGTGAAAACAAAATTTTACTTTCGATGTTAATTGATGGATGTTCACTTTCACTTTACAGTTCAAACCAAAAAATCAATAATATTACATTGTTAGAGATTCAAATAGATTTCATGATTAGTTGTAGCCTCTGCGGTACCTACAGTGTTGTTTGGAATATAACCCGAAATTGCCCGTCTAATGTTAAAGCAACCAAGCACATTAGTTAAGTAAATTGTTTTAAGGTTAAGTTTTAATTGATTCTAGCATCATAAGTGTTTCTCATTTTGCGGCTGGAAGCTTTTAAATCATTCTGCCAGGGGCTTGAATATTTGCTTGAGGCTTTCCGTGGCCCCTGAAGCACATTCAGAGTACTTTGTTCGCACAGTTCATCGACCAAATGAGACTGAGAAACTACAAAACCAAATTTACATGTTAGACACTGTATAGAATATACAAATATCAATCTGACAGCCTCATATAATAAAAAAAACAATACTTATTAACAATTTCAAAGTTATAGTTCAATAATATGCAGTATGGCCATTTCTTTAACTCTTTTTTGTAAATGTTAGTTGCTTGAAAATGTAACACCATAGTGCAGTTTCAGCATTAATCAGGTGTGTTTCCTTAGTTTCTTTTTAAATGAAAAATACAAATTGAGCAAAAGTGTGGGGAAAAGGGAAGGCAGGTCACAGCTGACCAAGAAGGCCAATTTTCATCTGGTGTAGATGTTAGCATGCACCCAGACAATAACTTGAATATTTTCTATACACTGGTGCTGTTGCTGCTTTGAATGAAAAATTATGTTGGCCCCAAGCAATTTATGAAAGTGCCAAGATCATTGTTAGCCTGAGTCAAGAAGACAACTGTTAGCGAGTCCCTGCAACTGAACAAATTGGAAAACACAGAACTCTATAGCCAGTGGTCCAGCACTCACTCACTGGAGTGCTCAACCAGCTGCACTCAGTCCTACCCATCTCACTTCCACTCCCGCTGTGGGACAGTGAACATGTAATCTGGTCTCAGCAGGCCACCAACCAGGCGTGCACACACACACACACACCACCCACCACACAGCTGCAACTGCCCTTCAAACCACTCAGTTTGCCTTTCATCCATGCATTACAGTATTTTCACGGTCAGGGCCGCACCTTCCTGGCGGCAGTTGCTTGAGCCGGCATTAAAGCGAGCATGCTAACAAGCTAGCTATTTTTGCTGCTGTGTCTGCCTGTTGCGAGAGTGAAGATGTCATGGGCAGTAGACAGCATTAAAAGACATGACAAGTGACCATGACCGAGTTTTCTAACAGTATAACTGCTCAGCATGTGCAGTACTGAGCAGTGGGCTAGCATATATGTGCATGTTGTATGTGTGTATGTGTATGCTTCAGCATGCACGCGCACATACAGTATGTGTGCATGTATCTAGATTATACCAGTGTATGTGTGTGTTTATGGTAAATGTGCATTCCATTTTCTTCATCTTCTGTCACTTTCTCAGGCTGTGTTATTTTGGTTTGTCTGTCAGCACACAGAGGGAACATAGACAGCCTCATCGTCTGTGATGGTAGAACTGCCCGTGTTTGCCTGATATGTGTTTGTGTGCACTTTATGTATTATGCACTGCCATTTGTGTGCTCCATACTGTCCAGCCATCTTCCATCCATATGTCATAAACCCCTCTGGAGCCCTTGGCAGTAGCCAGTAGCCATATTGTACTGTGATGTACATCTCATTATACCTTCATGCCAGCAGTAGCCATTTAGCCATGTCCGTCCCTATGGCCCAGTCCCCACTGTGTTCCAGTGGCTCTCTCTGTCACCAAATGCTAACCCCAGCTGTCACAGCCATCAGTGGATCAGAGCTAACAATCTGTCTCCCTTTATGACCCATGCTCATATCTGCTACCATCTACATGCAGAGCAGACCGCTCCTTATACGTGCACAGCCTGCCACCAGCTCAGCAAATCACATCAAATGAGCCAAGCATGCTAGTTTCAAGAGTTTGGGGGGGGGCTACTCAAGGCATTAAAAACTAATTGATTGTGCTGCTATTTGGCAGCTCCCACGTGTTGCATGTTAAACCAATGGAGCGTTGTGTATTAGTGCTCTTGGTGTCCAGACAATATGGAGGTGACTGAGCATGAAAGGGGAAGAGGTCACTGCTAGCCAGTCAGACTGTGTAGAATAAAGCTGAGTAGAACAGATGGTAAATTATCCCTCATTCCATGAAGAAAGTGTCACCAGAGAACGATAAACATTATAGCAAGTCAACATAACAAGTACAACACATTAACTAAACTAGAAAACATATAAAAAGAGTCCACAAGAGTAAAAGCAAAAAGACTGAAGGCATCCATATGAAACTGGACTTCATCCCTCAGAGGAGCCAGCACTTTGATAGTAGTAGGGGAGATAAAGTGAGGAGAGAACATTTTCAAAATGTATTTATCCCCAATTAATGGGTGAGATGCACTCAGCATGGAACTTGATGGAAAGTGTTTTTTAAAGTGGACAGCTAAATGAGGATGCAGCCTGTTCTTCCATCTCTTTCCCCTCTCTTTATTCTTTGTCTTCCCTCTCTCTTCTCCTCTCATACTATCTCAGATCTAATGCTGTGCTCTGTTTGGCAGTTCGGCGTAGGATGTCAGAACAGCAGGACCACTTGCCTTTGTGTCTGTTCTTTAGCCAGTGCAAGTCAGCAGACCTTGTAGAAGAGGAGAAAACTGAACAACTAAGGGTCCCAAAACACAAAAACACACATGCAGCTCACACAGAGATACACAAGTGCCTAAACAAACATTTTGTTTGAACACAGAAACACGCTATTAACGTTAAATCTCACTTGTGTACAGATCATCAATCACACACACAGACTCTTAAATTCTCTTTACACTGCCAAGGAGTGGTGGAGTAGCTGCAATGCCGGCCAAGCACAGCATTGCTGTCTTTCTTCATGACTTATCCATCCCCTGTTTTTTTTTTCTTTTCCTCAGTCTGAACTGTGTGTGCCTCAAGTGTGTATTTACTGAAGTGCATTGGACCTTACATACTGTAGGTGAATTATTGAATTCCTCTCTGTTGCACCCCAGCCTATTCTCCCTGCCATGTACTTTGAATAGAGGGTCACGGGGCCTCTTAGAATTGAACCATAACTATCTGCCCTCATCGGATGGAGGTGAATCGGCGCACTATGTGATACCCATCTCCCCGCTTGACATTAAAAATGCTCTGCGGATTGAGAGGGCTAACATTATGTTGGTCCCATGGATTTAACTGGCAGAATTTGAGACAAGGCTACGGTCGCCCTTGAGTTGCTCTCACTGCTCTCCTCTCTCCATCTTTTCATCCCTCTCTCCCATCCCACTTTCATTTCTCCCTCTCTCACTTTCTGTCTCTCTGGCTTTTCAGAGTACAACTGCAACTGCTGTGCAAGGTCCAGCAAAAAACAAAAAAATCATCTGCTCATGGTTAAAGTTTCATTTATATAAGATATTGTTGCAGTGCCACAGGGTGACTGACAGAGAGATTGAGCGGCTACATTTTCACTATAAGCTTTTGGATATTACCTCGAAAAATTTAGCAGTAGTAAAAAAACTACATTGAAACAAAAGCCGACATGCTTTGGTGGACAGGCTTTATTAGCTCAGTGTGTTTTGGATTTTTAATGTCTTTTGTAAAATAGAGTAAATATTCTGGACAGATCCTTGTGTATGAAATGATCCATTTGTCTACAAGGAGCAGTCAGAGAACAGATGATAAACTAGCGCGGTCCGAGCATGGAGAGCAATGGACCTCCTATGAAGACATGACAAATAGTGTTACATGCTTCATCTAGCAGCCTTATCCTCTCATACACACATATATACACACTGTAAATCCACCCAAATATCATAGTTAGTCCATTTATTTTTGATTATATTCAATCCTATCAGAATTTTATAGTCAGAAACAGGCATAATAATGTGAAATTAATAGTTTGACACACACACACACACACACACAACAAAGCAACAGCAGTGCCATAAACAATCTCAGTGAGGACCAATTAGTAACGTGCCTCCCTATTTTGCCCTGCAGACGTACGTAGCTTGTTGTACCACACATTCCAGCTGGTGTAATTCTGAAAATACTGATTTCACTGGTAAAACATTTTATTGTAATTCGGTCTGTATCCTCTGAGATGTTGCACGTGATGTATGGACAAATGAATCAATAAGTGTGAGGAGGCTGATCCATCACTCCTCTCATTTTTATTTCATTGTGGAGGACAAGTACATATGCAGTAGACAGATAGATAGACGTCTTTGCCAGAGGTGAGAAATCCTTCACCGGCTTCAGTCTCCATATGCTAATCTGTTAACATTCATTCTTATGGCCCTTTGGCTGCTACATT